CGACGACGACGTCGATGACGACGACGCCTGAGAGGGGGAAACAATTCGCCTCGGATGTATTCGATCCTATAACAAATTTTATACAAAGCGCAATCGTTTTGCGGCTGTCGTGCATGGGGTACACGATCCCCTCGGCAGTGCCCGCGACGACCCCATGGCGCACGTGATTAGCTTACACCGAAGAGAAGGATGGTTTTCGCTGAAAGATCGACCGGGAACCCGGGAGCCCGGGAACCCAAAACCCACCGAAATCGGCCCCGAACCAATAACCAGGAACCGGGGAACAAGGAACCGGAAACCCGGGAACCCAGCCTGCTACCAAAATCGGCGGGCAACTTTCGCCAAATCATTTAACTCCGCTAGGACCCCTTCAGTGCAAGCACTGATTGGGGAAAAACATGTTTCACGCCCCGCGGGGTCTATTCATCAGCCCCGGGGGGGGCCTCATCTGCTAATCACAAGCTGACATTTCGGGCTGAGCACCTGATCGGGAGAGTCCACAGCCAGACGGAGTGGGCCCGGACGGAGGCGAGCACTCGGCACGGAGCCACTCCGAGGCCACGCCGTGCGTGCCGTCGAGCTCCCCTATGTTCGCCTCATTGAAGACCATTTCCAGCCCCGTTTCCTCACTGCCCCTCGTCGTGCAACAGCCATGCAAACCTTGACAACAAGGGGCTGCTCTGAAGGGTTCGACGGTGCGCCCGCCGTCGTCGTGCAGCCGACGCACAAAAGTCGGCAACGATGGGCTGCCCTGAGGGTGTTCACGGTGCCCGCCCAGAACATTCGGCAACGAAAAATTCGATCCGACGGTCACCCCAATCCCATGGCGTATGACAGGACTGATGTTAGCTTCAAGCGTACCCTAGGTCTCCATCTTGTGCGGTGCGCTCGCGCTGCTTTGACTGATAACCTGCGTTCAGGGTTACTTCAGTTTGCTGCCTAAAGTATACCCTTGGTTGACATGGTCCTGGCTCGCCGATGAAGGCGGCCAAATTCCTATGTCTCTTCTGCGACCGTGCCTTCGCTGCTCCGCGCACTCGCCGCGGCAACCTCCGTCCGCGCTCCTCGCCGCAACCCAGCCTCTGCAGCAGCACCCGCGTCGCCTTCGGCAGCCTCCTTGCTGGAGCCGCTCGCCGTGCCAGCCGCTCCACCACCTGTTCGAGCTCCTCCTGTGCACCGCTTCGGCCCCCGCCGCCTCCCGGCGGCTCTGCCTTGTGCCGCAGTTCGCTTCGAAAGTCGAAAGCGCCCCTCCGTCGCTCGAACGCTGCTTGAGTCAGGCGGCCGCGGTGCCAGAAAGCCGTCGAGCCACCCTTCGGCCAAGTCCAGCGCCTGGCGTGCACGTGCAAGCAGCCTCCCGAGTGAGCCTCGGCTGGGCGTTCGAGTGGAAAATTAGCTCGCGCCGTCGCCCGAGCTGCCAGCGCGCGCGCGCGCGCCTCGCTCGGAGCAGGGCAAGTTCAGACAGCGGCAACTCAAAACCGATGCCCAAACCCCAGTCTTCCGAGCTGCATCCAGCCGTGGCGACGAGAACCCCCCGAAGCCAACCACCATTGTCGCAACTCGCCCTCCTCTGACTCACCTCCGCGTTCAGCGGCTCCTGCAAGGGCAGGGCCAGCAGGTGCAATGAATGACGACGAGGGTTTTCCAAAAGGCCCCCAAAAGGCAAAACATACCAGCGCCGTTCGCCAATCACGCAACCATGCGTGTCCGTAGGCTGGGCAGGGCGCTTCGCTTGAGACTGCTTGTGCTTTGCTATCTTGAAGTTGAGAAGCTCCGGCAGCTACAACAATAGAGGGCTGGTCGTTTTCAAAATGCGGCTCTCGCCCGAGCGCCGCGCACGTCTTCCTCGGACAGTGCTTGCCCTGGGGGCTATTACATTACTTCCGTTCATACGGTAGGAGGTTCGGGCGGCGTCGGCGCGCGCCGAGGCTTTTGACACCAAGCTGATCGTTCAACCTTGAGCCGATTCGCGGCCCCGATCGTTCAAACTTGAATTCCGTCGGGTCCCGTGGCGCTACCGAATCCATCGGTGCCTCCGCGCAATCCTGTCGTGCGGAGCTCACTCTTGAACGCCTTCGCTGGCATCGCCGCCGCGCCACCGCCGCGCGAATCTGCCGTGCTTCCGCTCCTTCGTAATCGGATGGGTGTGGCACGTGTTTGCCTGGCGTGCGGCCCTGAGCGCCTCGTGGGTGCGCGGGCGCCTCGGCGCGCCGTGCGCCGTGTGGGTCTGTGCCGAGGTGCCGTCTCGTGGGCGGCAGCGGGTGCCTCGTGGCCCCCCTCGTGAGCTGCCCGGGTGCGACGAAGATTCGCCCGGTGAGCAGCCGTGGGCGCCTCGTGGCCGCCCCGTGAGCTGCCCGGGTGTGCCCAGGCTTCGCCTGGTGAGCGGCCTTGGGCGCCGCGTGGGGCACATCGCGCTGCCTGCGCCGATTGCTCGCGGGTCATTGCCTATGCCACCTCTCTCTGCACCTCAAAACCTGCACCGCATAGCTTGCAATGGCCCACA